ACGAATCTTGAACGCCACAGCCAACCGTTGCAAAAGACGGCCAACTAAACTCGAGTCACTGCCCATCAGAATTATGTCGTCAACATAGACGAGTAGAAAAACCTGGGCACCTGCAACGGAATAGTAAAACAAAGACACATCGGTCTTGGAGGCTTTAAAACCAACAGAAAGAAGAAAATCGTGGAGCCGCTTGAACCACGCCCGCGGGGCCTGTTTCAATCCATAAAGTGACCGCTGCAAGTGACAAACATGATCAGGAAAAGAGGGATCCAAATACCCCGGCGGTTGCTTCATAAACACAGATTCATCCAAACGGCCGTTGAGAAAGGCGTTGTGCACATCAAGCTGACGAAGAGTCCACCCCCGCGACAAAGCAAACGAAAGCAACAACCGAACCGTCGTGGGCTTAACCACCAGACTGAATGTATCAAAAAAATCCTCGCCAGCAACTTGATTAAAGCCCTTAGCGACTAAGCGTGCCTTATGCCGCTCAACCGAGCCATCCGCCTTGCGCTTAGTCCGGAAGACCCACTTACAACCAACAATATTCATGTCAGGGCGAGCGGGAACCAATTGCCACGTCTGATTTGCAAGAAGAGCATTAAACTCGGCATCCATCGCAGCACGCCATTCCGGGTGCTGCACCGCTTGTGAATAACAAGTGGGATCCCCTGAGCTAGCCATCAACGCATGAAGAGGCTCCGTGTGCTCCATATGCCGCAACAACATACCATGCGACCTCGGAGGTGGCGGTGGGCGAGGACCACGCCGAGGCCGAGATCGGACTACGACTGGCCGAGGCTCAGGAACAGGCAGTGGCATGATCTCAGAAGGTGATGAAGCAGAGGAAGAAGATGAACACGAATCAGGCACGGAAAAAGCCACAGAGCCAACACCCCAAGGATCCGCCGGAATGGATGATGAGACCACCTGTACAGAAGACTTGGCAAAAGGAAAAGAGTGTTCATCAAACCGAACATGCCGGCAAACAAATATCTTACCCGTATCTAAAGCCATGCACCGATACCCACGAAACGAGGACGGATAGCCCAAAAAGACACACGGAGCCGACCGAAAGGCAAACTTGTGCCGATTATACGGCCGAAGATAAGGATAGCACAAGCACCCAAAGACTCGAAGATAGTCAAAGGATGGTGCGGAACGAAACAGTGTATAGTAAGGGCTATCCATATTAAGTACGGACGAAGGCAACCGATTGATCAAAAACACAGCGGACTCAAAAGCAAAGTCCCAATATTTGAGAGGAACAGAGCCCTGAGCCAGAAGAGCCAGACCAGTCTCAACGATATGCCTATGACGACGCTCAACTCGTCCATTCTGCTCGTGCGTATAGGCACAAGACTGACGATGAACAATACCAAGGGAAGCAAAGATAGACCCTAACTTGCGGTACTCACCGCCCAGGTCAGATTGCACAGATTGTATTTTACGAGAAAATAAACGCTCTACCATGACACGAAAAGTATCAAACACAGAATACAAATCAGACTTCAGACGCAAAGGAAAAAGCCAACAATAGCGTGAAAAGTCGTCCACGAAAAGCACAAAATACCAAAAACCAGAAACAGATAAAACCGGGCCAGGACCCCAAATGTCCGTATACACTAAGTCCAATACATTAGTACTTGAATAATTAACTCGGGGTAAGGGAAAACGGGACGACTTTCCTAATTGACACGACGAACATAAGGTAGAAGCATTAACATCATGCTTGCTAACCGAACAACCACGCAGCACTTTATTCAACACACGAAGATGGGGATGCCCCAGACGATTGTGCCATACGCTAGACGGTGCCCGAGCAGATAGAAACGCAGCGGGCGACACAGGAAGCCGCAAATTGTAGAGTCCCCCAGAACTCGGTCCCTTAAGTAGAACGGTGTTGGTAGCGATGTCCTTAACCACAAAAAAAGAAGGAAAGAACTCAAAAAAGACGTTATTATCACGAGAGAATTTTTGAACGGAAAGTAACTTAGTAGAAAGACCAGGAACAACAAGAACATCAGACAACTTAAGGGGATTAGACATAGAAGAAGAAATAAGAGCATGACCGATACGGGTAATAGACAAACCTTCACCACTGCCGACGCGCAATGTATCCGAACCAGTGTAAGGTTCTGTATCCGTTAAGCCAGCATCGGACGGAGAAGCGTGATGCGTAGCTCCGGTGTCCGAAAACCATGCAGCAGCAGACCCGGACGATGCCAACTCACCACCATCCACCGTAGAAGCCACATTTACCTGCGGCTGATCCGAGTAACGCCGAAAGCAGAACACGGCAGTATGCCCGTGACTGCGGCAAATCTGGCAGCGAGGGCCTCGACCACCACGTCCGCCACCACGGGCAGAACGGCCACCACCTCGCTGGCCTCCACGACCGCCGGACTGCCGGCCACCACCTCTGCGGGAAACCAATGCCGCCGGCTGGGAATCCAAAACCGGCACAAAATCGTCGCTGCAGATGAACTGCTGCGCCACCAAAAAATCAGAGAGCTGGGAAATAGTAACCGGAGTACCTTAGGTTACAAGTGACGACGCCATCGCTCGGAATTCAGGCCGCAGACCCCTGAAGACGTACAAGTTCTGCTCGTCCAAGGTCACCGGCCGGCCGGCCATGGCTAGCTCTTCAATAATGACTTTCGCACGGCCAAGGAACTCCGCAGGCGTGCTATCACCCTGGCGCAAGCCTTGCAGCTGACTGAGGAGACCAAGCGCCCGAGCCCTCGTCGACGAACCAAACGCACCTTCGATCGACAACCAGACCTGGCGCGACGTAGCCTGGCCAACTGCGAGATACATGACCTCATCGGACAACAACGCAACGAGCATGGACAAAATTGCTTGGTCCTGCTGCTCCCAGACGAGAACCGCCGTGCGATCCACCGGAGCAGCAGCATCACCCGCCGTGACCGCAACCGGCAGTGGGCATGGAAAAGAGCCGTCGACAAACCGGAGAAGACCCTGGCCGTGAAGAAACGGCACCATCTGAGTGCGCCAAAAAAGGTAATTGCGAGTGGAAAGCTTGATGGAGACGAAGTGGTGCGCCGATGAAAGAGTGGGAGGAATCACCGTCGGAGAACCAGAAGGATCGGCAGACACCGTGCGTTCAGAAGAGGCTTCGGAAGTAGTGGGAATAATGGACGCCATTAGGATCGAAACAGAGCGACTGATACCAGATGAATGTTCGTAACAATAGTATTCAATAATAATCAGAAGATAATACACGGTACTAGATAATATAGCCAAGAGATACATAACTACTAGGACTCTAACACATGAGTCATTAACCAACTAAATATATTATCTATTAAACAACACATTAACTAAATTTTTTTTTCCCATAAAAACAACACTGTTTGAACTCGTGTTCACCATACACGTTTCCAGGACATAATTTGCGCTCCTCGTACTACATACACATTTCATTTTTGTTAAGTGAATATTGCACTATTTGCATGGGCGTATTTCTATTGGATTGCTTTTGCCTTTGTCTAGTTCTTTATCTCCATGTTCGATCAGATGCGGAGTGGGCTAATTGTGTTGATATTAGACACGTTCTATCTCTAGTTTTGGTATTTTCTTTGACTCTGTTTCCATTTTTTTTTAGGTCTAAAAGCAAAGGATGGTCGTTCCAAATTCCAATACAGAAGCTGATGAGTATTGAGCTTTGACTTCAACTTTTAACTTCTATGGATACAACATTTGTTATGTGATATTAGCATTGGCCTTATTGTACCTCCAACTTTAATTTGTGATAATAATATTATTATATTAGTACAATCTATCTCCAAAATCCTTTTATTCATGGTCGTACCAAACACTTGGAGGTTACCTTTAAGTTTTTGCTTAAGCCTGATCGTTAACATTTTCACCAAACCTTTGTCTAGCACCCACTTCATATAGTTGTGTTCCAATCTTAGTCTTCTACTTGTTAGGTGTTAGTGTGCAATTATTGAGCTAGAGCATCTCCATCCTTTGGAGATTTCTTTCAAGTTTTTGTTAGGCCACTTAGGAGCAATCGTTATGCCATGGAGCCGTGTTCACCATCCATGGTGAACACGTACGGTCCCAATGGTAACGGTGTACCGTTATCTTTCTTTCTTTTTTTTTTTTTTTAATTAACTGCACGACTTTTCTTCTTTATTTTCACATTTTGCGGTTTCACTTTCTCTGCGCGCAAGTTTCTTCAACATTCATAAATTATGAAAATGTGCAGGCATTAATTTATGAATGTGCAGTTATGAAATTATGAATTTTCTTTTATGAGATTATGAATTTTCTGTTATGTGATTATGAATTTATAGTACATTCATAATCTCATAACAGAAAATTTATAATCTGAACAAACGCGCGCGTTAATAGCACATTAACTAAAAAAAAATTCCGTAAAAATGACACTGTTTGGACTCGTGTTCACCATTCATGGTGAACACGTTTCCAGGACATAATTTGCCACTTAAGAGGGAGTCGATAAAAAATGGAAAAAAATAACACTTAACACGTCTAAAGGGCGCGTGCAGTGCACTCACCTACTAAGCACGCCTGGTGCACGAAGCGCACACATGTGTTCAATTTTTAATTTTAATTTTTTGTGATGAGATCCACTAAAAACTTAGTTTACTATAATTTTTTTTTTTCTCTCTTTTCTCCCTCCTTTCTCTTCCAATTCAGCTCCTCTCCACTCGAACCGTAAAAAGAAATCCAAGAAATTAAACCTTTGATGGTTATGCTCTTAGTGTGTAGTTAATTACTAGCTATACGTTGTTGTTGTCTGTTAAATGTATTGTCATGTTTTATATTTTCCCATTGTAATCTTGTTGTTCTTCAAATGTTGAATTTCGAACCCTAAGGACCCTCACGTCCTGGTCCGATAATAGAACATCTAAGAGAATGTAAATTATGATAAGTCAACTGAATAGAGATGCTAGAGACTTGTAATTTTGTATCATTAATATAAAGGTGTAAGACTTATATCAATATAAGAATTCTTCATCATATATATACTACATTCACATATTTGTATTATGTATATTCATGACCCCTAATAATCTAAGCTACTACTACTCATGAATTGAAGCAGACGATGTTGGTGAAGTGGATGATGATAGCGACAATGAAGATAATTCAGTCCCCAAACTCTCCGGCGATTTCCGGCACAAGGGGCAAGTGGCATTGAGCCCAAGCCACTCATCGATGCAATTAGCGTGGAAATAATGGTTGCAATCCGGTATACTCCCAAGGATCTCTTCCGCTTGGTACTCCGACAGGCATATTGGACAAGTAGTATTTCCATTTGGGTTCGGAAGTTGCAAGCTCTCACCCAGAACCATCGTTGGGTAGGATTGGATTGTTTGTCGACCCAGTCCGCCTCCGCGGGCGGTGGGCATTGGCGGTAGTTTCATGATGGGAAGCTCGCCGGTTACCTGGCTGTTATGGGAGTTTAGGGTGAAGTTCTTGATTTTGCGACAACCGCAAAATAGTAGTCCGATTAGGCAGAGAAGGCTAGGTATTGCTGCACCTACAATAATCCCATACTCCGCACTCCTTGGAATCCCTGTCGTATACAAATTTTTGAGCAAAAAAAATATTGATATTTTATTTTCAAAAAAAAAAAAAAATTGATATTTTAATTGTTGCCCATCATGCAATTTCATTTTAGAAGTCAAGTTACTCAGTTGTTTCTCATGAAGTGTTTCAGGTCTTTCTCTATGTATTTTATGGTCTGAGTTCACCCGATTAATTCCCGTTTACTCCGAAAAACATGAGAACTTGTCCAACAGGAATCGGTACTTGTTGAAATCGAATCCGAATTATCTTTAAGATCGTCCCCACAAAAAAAGTTTCTTTGCCACTTAAATTACCCCTTTCGTTTTTAACATTCTAGTTCTTCAGTTAATAGCCCTTGATAACTATGTGTGAAATTTAAGAAAGACCCACACAAAACTATAAACGGATTGAAGGTCAACAATCTATTAACTTTGGGATTGGATTGACAATGTTAAAAAAAAAATTGAGAGACTAAAATTTTTAAAGTAGAAATAAATAGGTTAAATCACATAATAGGCAACAATTAAGAAATTAAAAGTAGAAATTTTCGTATCAATTATTAATATTGTTATTTAAAAAGGGCATCAAAACTTATAATCTCATACCTTAAGTTTATGATTATCATTCAACAATTTATTTTAGGCAAGTTATATCATGGACCATGATTCATTATTATAATACTGTAGTTTTATTAAAAAATATCATTAATTGTGATTTATTATTATAATATTGTATGTACATTATAACAATATTATTAGTTCATTAAGATGTCACCATTTTGCGTATTATCATTTACATATGCTATTCTTTATTTTTTGTATAAATAAAATCAATGTTACAAAATGTATTATTAAAAAATATTTCATTGAAATCTTTTAAATGATACTCATATTAATAATTTTTGAATCTTAGTTGTTTATTAATTGACTTGTAATATGGATAAAATAAACTTTTTTGCATGCTGAAAATGAACCTCCACTATTCTCTTAATGAACCTATTTTAGATTCAACAGTCTTATAATGTAGTTGAATTATTATTGTAAAGATGAATATCCATTATATTATTATAAAAATGAACCACTAATATTGTGAAAATGAACCTGCAATATTTCATTAATGAAACTATTTGAGAACCATCATTATAATGTAGTTGTATTATAATTGTGAAAACGAACATATTATATTTTGAAAATGAACTTGTTGTGTTAGCTTAATGAACTTATGTAATATTTACCAGTATAATGGTGTATTTGCATTTGTATTATATTGTAAAATTAAACCTACCGTATTTTAAAAATGAACCTAATATAATGACTCAATATAATTGTATGCAAATTTAAAACATTAAAATAAAAATATCATTATGAGTGTCATTTAAAATATCTTAGGAAAAAAAAATGTAATTTTAGTCCTTCAATTATTTTTATTAGCTATTTTAGTCCTTAACTTTTTACCATTGCAATTTACACCACTAACTCTTCAAAAAGTTACAATTTTAACATTTGGTACGGTTCAACACTAAAATATTATTTAATACATGTTTGTCTTAAAATTTTATTATCTTATTCTTTATAACTTTTCCTGTTTTGGTATCATTGGCAAAATAGAGAATTAATCACCTTCTTCTCTAAATTTTTCTCTTCAATTGTGGTACATCATATCATGATTATCATCTATGTTTCCCCTACTCGAACATGTTAAAATCATTTTTTTAAAAAAAAATTATTTTTAAAAAAAATGTAGACTAAAGAACTTTATAATTAAAAAAGAAACATTAAAAAGTACTAAAATACTCATGTACTAAATAATACGGAGTATTTTAATAAAATTTAATAGTTTTGTTAATCTATGAGTTAAAATTGTATTTAAAAAAAAAATTTAGGGGATTGCAACGGTAAAAAGTTACAGACTAAAACAACTAGCAAGAAACAATTGAGAAGCTAAAATTACATTTTCCTAATATCTTAATTAGAATTTTTTAATGATCTAATTTTTATATATTAATTTTATTTGTATAAAAAAAAAAGATAAAAGAAAAATAAAACTAAGGTGAAAAAATAATTTAATTTGGTTCACCTTACAAAGACCATGGTGCATGGTATAACAATGCTTAGTTTTATAAACTCCTCTTGCCATACCAAAACATATAGTAAAAAACCATCTTAATTATATTAGAAAACTCATATGTTTTTTTTTTTTTTTTTTTTTTGTTAATAATTTTTTTACAAAATCACATTTATAATTAACCTTACCTTCCAAGTACTTTGTGGTTTGTTAGTATCGTTGTGACCCTTCCTAATAGAAGGTCACTGGTTTGAGTCTCATCATCCCAATCAAAGATGTTTGCATATCATGTTGTTGAGCAGATACTACGGATATATTAGATTGTAATTAAAAAAAAAAAAAAGTAATTTTACCTTTAAAAAAATTGATGAACTGATAGCAACAATTCAAAATTATTTTAATGTAACCTTAGCTTGACTTGGCATAAAAACTAAACAGACCCTTTCATTCAACTTATAATTGTATAGTGAGATTAACACAAGTTTGCTCGCACATACTTAGCTTGGTTTAGTATACAATATTTTGGGTAGAAAATTAACACAAGTCTTTGTGGGGAAAAATTAACACAAGTCTTACATAAAAAGGAAGTAATTATTTTTTTGGGGAAAGACAAGGGTGGCTGTGAATGGGATAAAGTCCACTATTGTGTAATATCCAACAAATTATAAAAGAGAGATAAATTGCACTAAGAAAATTATATGCAATGGGTTCAATCAAGATAGTATTTGTAAGAATTAAACTCGTGAGTTTCAAGTAATATAATCATGCTCTATTCATTTGTCCATCCCTTTCTAGCATGGGCAAAATAATTATTTTTCCATAGAGAATTGGGTATCGAAACTTTCAAGTCACTAGTGAGTTGATGACGTAAAAGAATGAATGATTAGTTATAAAATTGTACTAAGAATTCGTTTGAAAATCTAAAAAATGACTTTAAGTTAATTTTTAGATTTTTTTTTTTGTTTTTGTATTTGGGTATTCAAGGAAATAAAGTCAAAAGAAAATATTCATTTTAGTCAACGGAAAAAATGTTCAATTTGGTAGAAAATGTATTTTTAGTCTGGAGAAATTTTTTGAATTTTTTATTTTCCTGTATTTATCTTCTCTCTCATATTTTTTCATGCTAGTTTTCGAACTATTAGTATTATTATTATTATTACCGCCGCCGCCGCCGCTGCTGCCACCATCACAACCACCACCACCAATACACTACCACCACCACCAATACACTACCACCACTATCACCAACACCACAGCCGCCACCTCCATCACCACTACCACTACTACTGGCACTGCCACCACCACCACCATCATTACTACCACTACCATTACCAACACCACCTCTGCCACCGCCACCACTACAAATAATATGCTCATTTTCAAGAAAATAAAACAAACAAAAAAAATAAAATTTCTTTAACTTTCACCTAAACAAAAAAAGATATTTTCCTGACTTTCAGCCAAACAATATAAAATAAAATTATTTTCCTGAAAATAAACCATTTTCTTGAAATTATTTCTCAAAATACATTTCTAAGTTTCTAAACAGACCCTCAATTTTGATATTTCAATATGACATAAGAAAATTAATTAACACAAATTAAGTCACCAATTATAACCCTTAGCCAATTACTATGTAGTGATTGATGTTGCCTATGTTACTATTTTAAATAGGTGGTCACAAGATCAAACTCTAGTGAGAGTATTAATTTTAAGTCACCAATTATAATAAATTAGAAATTGTGAGGAATTGATTTACCTTTGGAAGAATTGGGAGGAGGATCGGAGCAACCAATTTCCAAACCCTGATCGGTGCTGAAGCCGCAGAGCTTATTCCGGCCTCCACAATCCCGGCAATTGGGCTTCTCCCACCGCAACTCCAGCCGAGTAACAACGCCATCCCCCCAGAATACAGCAGGATCATCCCTGTCCACACTCCTCGGGATCGGTATGCTAACATTCTCTGCGGCAACTACGCACGCCGCCTCCGCCGCCGCCTCCAGCAAAACAGAACCCGGCACGGCAATCACACTCTTGCTCATATTCCCCTCGCAAGGCACCAGCAAGGGAAAAGCAAACGAACAACTCAGGATCGTGTAACGCATATCGTCGGGAGCCCGGAACGGGCTGCCGGCCAGAGAAAGGTTTAAGATTCTCTGGGAAAGGCAGTTGTCAGGGTCAGAGATTTGTATCATTTGGGAGGCGTAATCTATATTGTTCACCACGAAACTGCCCGGAGTTGACGGGAGGGTGATAATCGTTTCCCCCAGGTCGTTGCAGGAGAGATTAAACCCCGGGTAGCCGCACCGCTCATGTTGCCGGCCGGTGATCCGGAAAGGAAACTTGATTTCCGGTCCATAGCCGTCGTTGCATGAGTAAGGGGTGCAGAATTCATCTGAAGAAGACGAGCATGGAGGTGGTAATGCGACGAGGAGGAAGACGACAATGAAAACGAAGCAGAGTAGAGGTGCAGGGGTTTGGGTAGGGGTCTTCATTTTCTACTCCGTTTTCACCAAAATTCCATTCCCATAAAACTAGCATTTTAAACTTAATTGCATGACTACACATGTTGGAAAAAGAGATAGTTTAAAGAGCCAAATATACCCTACTAGGGCAAAAATACAATTATTTTATATGTCTGATTCATTTAACAAAATTTGACTGGAGTTATTTTTAATTCAGTTTTTTATAATAGTAAGTTTAGTATTAGTATATAAAATTTATATATTTAAAAATTACTTTAAAAGTACTATTAAACACAAAAAAAAAATATTAAAAAAAATAAGCACAAAAAAAGAGTTAATTTGACACTACTTTGACCTGTGAATAGTAAACAAGGCAAGTAAACAGGGACAGAGGGAATAATTTAAGTGTAATTAAGGTTTGGGTGAGTCTCATGTGAGACCGTCTCACGAATCATTTTCTTTGAGACGGGTTGAGTTTAGATAGAAATGTAATGCTTATGATAGAAAATGTAATACTAATCTGAGACAAATTGATTGATACTTGTAAAGAAAAATGTGATACTTTTGATGGGAAAATGTAATGTTTTTAAATCAAAATATAATATTTAGGGGTTCAAGATTTACTTATGAGAAAAAATATAATACTAATAATGAATTAATAATTTGATTATTGCACATAAGGAAAAACATATTTAGGAAAAGTTGCATTTTTCGTCCTTAAGTTATAAGATAATCGTAGAATTTGTCCTTGTTGATCGTGCTAACTTTTCACCCCTAAGCTATTATTAGCGTTGCATTTTTCGTCCGTTTATTAACTTTTTTTGCACACTTTTTGTCTCTAAGCTATACTAAAGTTGCAAATTTCGTCCATAACGTTTTGTTAGTAAATGGACAAAAAATAAGCATGACTAACGATTAGAGACGAATTCTACAATTATCATATAACTTAAGGACGAAAAGTACACTTTTTCCTAATTTTATGAGGAAAAGTGTAATACTAATAATGGATTAATTGATTATATTACTTATAAGGATAAATGTAATACTTATTAGAGAATATATAATACTTTTAAATCAAAATATACTATTTAGTGGTTAAAATGTTACTTGTGAGATAAAATGTAATACTTATGAAAAACTCAACCCATTTCATGAGTAAAGATCCATGAGATGATTTTGTAGAAGAATTTTCCTTAAGGTTTTTAAAGTCCTAATTTTTCATAAATTTTGTACAATTATATTTTAATTTTGATAGAATAATATTTGAGTAATTATATTGACTTTGTTTACTTTCAATTGGTATATTTTATGAGACGTTTTGTGAGGCCATTCAAAGGAGAAGAGAGAGAACCGATCAAGCATGAGGTAGGAATGTAGAAAATATATTTCGAGTAAAAATTTAAACAGATTTTTTTTTTTTTTTGTTAAAAAGAGTTTCTTCTTTTGATCATGATGTATATTTTTTAATATTTTTATTTTTCGCTTATAATCAAACACTGAAAAATATGAAAAATGACTTACACTTTTTTTGAATTTTTAAATTAATCTTTAATTAAAATGTCTAATTAATTATGATTGATGAAGTTTGAGATATTTTGGAGAATATAATTTTTTTTTTTTTTTGAGTACTATTAACTATGTTTCATGTTGAAGTTCAACAAGACATGTAGCATCTGTCAATACAGACTCCACAGACTCAAACCTATTACCCCTTATTTAGAAGAATCACTTTATACCGCTTGATCACAAGGTTTTTTACTTGGAAAATATAATTAAAAAAAGATTTTAATGCTACTGACAATATAATTTAAATTAGTTAAGACATACATTGTGGAATGAGAAATTGAGAATTAGTTAAGAAAGAAGTCGTTGTTAGATTAGCGTGAGAAATACGTGGTCAGCAGTCAAAATTATTGTTATTAAATAACTATGCAATTTCTACAAAATTTGGGAGTTCCTCTACTTTGCACTTTGACCAAGTCATCCTTTCATATTATATATACGACAAATGACAGTTGACGAATTGATAGTCTATTCACACGAGTATAAGGCGTGATGTAGGGTGCATATATCTACATCTATCTACATTTACATACAATACAAATCTAATAAGAGCGAATAATGTTAGATCCTTAACTAGAACAAAAAAAATATCGGTACTAATTTTTTCTTAAAATGAATGGTTCATATTAGAGTTAATTCCAGCAATAGTCCTCCGACTATTGTGATTTTTCAAAATTGGTCCTCGTCTATTAATTTGGACGAAGAAAACCCTTGACTATTATATTTATTCCAGCATTGGTCCTTCCGTTAACTTTCTGTTAGTTTAGGCGTTAGTGTAGGGCTAAAATGGTCATTTCATCTAATTGCTTTCTTCCTCTTGTTGGTTAGTAGCAAAACCAAAACTCCATTACACACGGCGGCGACGAAGAGGTTGTCAACCACAAGTGTTCAGACTCCAAGAGATGCCAAATTCAACAGAAGAAAATCTGTTCCCACCACACTGAATTATGAACTTTGCGCCTCCAAGAGTGTCAAGCCAAACCCCTAAGCTATTTAAGCAAGATCCTGTTTCAACTTGAATTTGAGCACAACCAGTATAGGCCTTATTTGGCAATTAGCGTTTAGCGGTTAGCGTTTGCGGATTGTATTAGCGGTTAACAAATAGCGGATTATATTAGCGAATTTGACCAGCAGATTGTATCAGCGGTTTGTAAAAAGATGTTTGGTAAAATTAGTTGTTTAGATTAGCGGTTAACATGTAAAATGACCAAAAGGGTATAATAATAATAATAATAATAATAATAATAATAATAATAATAATAATAATAATAATTTTTGAAATAATAATAATAATATAATAATAATAATATAATAATAATAATATAATAAGAATAAGAAAAAAAAAACAAACAAAAATGATGTGAGATAAAAATCCCACATCGAAAGTTAGAAAATAAATGGCGTTGAGCTCCCTTATAAAAGGGAGCTCAACCCCAATTAATTTCTCTTGCCCATCCCACATCGGATGGGCAAGAGAAGAGAAGCCTGAGGCATTTAAAGAAGCCTCAGGCTTCTTACTGTTTAGTTTAATTTTTTTTTTTTTAATAAAATGGAGGGTGTTTTGGGGAAGGAAAATCCTTCCCCAAAACGCCAACCCCAAACGCTGCTCCTAGCAGCGTTTGGGATTTCAGCGGTTTGGAGCAAACCGCTGCTTCAAACCGCTGATAACCAAACATGGTTTTTTGGCGTTTTGACGGAAGTCAAAACGCCAAAATGGTGGATCCGCCAAAAATTTGGCGGATCCGCCATTAACCAAACAAGGCCATAATAACTAAAAACAATTCTCACAACACAGGATGATAGCAGTGAATACAAATGTTGAATGACACCAAGATTTGTTCAGTCAAGAGATGCAAAGTTAAGACACTATTATGAACCGAGAGTAAGAGGATGCCCTTCATAGAAGGAACATCATCAACTCACCAATAACAATACAATACGGAGAAAATTATACTCTGTATAAGTTACAGAAAAATTTTAGTCCTGCAATGCACTTAGAGATATGACCTAACTACCTAAGTATCAAAGCCTTTGTTTAACCTGGGTTTCAGCATGTTATTAAGGATTACAAACTCTTCACAATGTGCACAGAAGAACTATATCATGGAGATATCAGATTTGAAATTTAGACAAAATCATGCTAAATAGTCACAGACCAGAGGCAATTTTGCAGGCCTTCTGAAAAGGAGAAAATTTGAGAACAAGGCACAGAGAGAAACCAAAGAGCATAGCAAACTTCACAACTGCTCATCCTCCCGCAGGCCTTCACGGCGTTGATCGGAGCCTTCATAGTCATGGCCATAATGCTTTCACTTCCTCATCCTCCCGGAGGCCTCCAACCGCCGCCGCCGCCGCCGCTGCGGCTCCTCCCACAGTTGGCTTGTCATCCTCGACGAGTCGCCATCGATCTTCATCATCAACCCGATCACCCGAGCCAAACTCAATTTCTCGCCGCTCTCGGGATTCACTAACGTCCTCGATTTTAATTTCTACAACGTTGGCCGTGAATACACCCTCCTATCCGAAGGCAGATCCATACCTGCCGTTTGAAAGAAATGTGCGACACTTTTATCAAAAAGGTTGTCATCTCCGGTAATCCTTTGCTTCAACCGAACTTCACCGTCATTGCGATTCTCAACCAAACAGGGGACCTGGCGTACTGCAAAAACGGTGAGAATTCCTGGAATTTGATTGACGATGCTAGGTCATTTTGTGAGAATGTCATTTACAGCGTAGGATTGTTCTATGCTGTGAAGAAGAAAACAATAAAGAGGAAATGACCATTTTAGCCTTACACTAACGTGTAGCAAACGGAAAGTTAACGGAAGGACCAATGCTGTAACAAATCTGATAGTCAAAGGTTTTTTTCGTCCAAATTAAAAAACGAGGACCAATTTTGGAAAATTACAATAGTCAGAGGACCATTGCTGGAATTAACTCGTTCATATTATTTTGATTTTAGTATATTTTAATGATTTTCCTTATTTACCCTCTATTATATTATTTTCTTCCCTTAAATAACACTAAATTCCGTTAATTTAAACTAAGAGCGAATAATGTTAGGCCCTTAACTGGAACAAAAAAAATGTCGGTACTAATTGTTTCTTAAAATGAATGGTTCATATTATTTTGATTTTAGTATCTTTTAATGATTTTCCTTATTTACCCTATATTATATTATTTTCTTCCCTTAAATAACCCTAAATTCCGTTAGTTTAAACTTTAGTAACGGAATATTCCGTTAACTATTTATTATTCTTAACATACTCTTAATTTATATAAGGTCTTAGGTTCGAACCTCAGTATAGTTGACATAATTGTTAAAACATATATTATGAATATGTTAAAATGTATTAAAAATATATATTCCGCCCACAAACCACACGGCTGCCCCCTCACGGAAGAAATGCTACATTGATGCAGCCTTTATCCATGCCACAAGCAAAGCCGCTGTTGGGGCAATACTACTAGACGAACAGGGATCGTATATCACAGCTCTACAGGCGTCTTTGATAGACTGCTTCTCCCCGATTATGGCAGAAGCA